GACCGTCTGCAGTCACGAAGCTCGGAGCTCTGACCGTCTGCAGTCACGAAACTCGGAGCCCGGACCGTCTGCAGTCACGACGCTTGTAGCCCGGGCCGTCTGGGCTCCCGAGGCCTGGAGCTTGGGCCGTCTGGGCTCCCGAGGCTCGGAGCCTGGAGTGTCTCCGCCCCAAAGCTTGGAAGCTCGTCCCGCGAGCTCGCCGAGGGACGAGCCCCGGCGTTATGCTACCGTCGTGTCGTGGTTGGCCGTCCAGCGGGGCGGGGGCGGCACCTGCAGGCCGGCCCGGGCAGCGTATCCCTCGCGCGACAAATCTCTGCGCGCGCATACGAGCCACTGCCTGGACGAGCGGGCAGAGGCGCAGTCAGGGACACGCAAAAGGGCCGCGCTTGTCCTCGCCAAACGTTTGCACGCTGCTCTGCATGAATTTTCAAGAGCTGGCTTTAACATGACATCCTCGTCCTAAATCAATACGCCTCTGGCGTAGTTCTCCTCCCGTATGGCGCCTGACTGCGCCCCTGGTGGCCAGGCCACCGGGGCACCGAGGTCTCCGCGCCGGCGAATGGGCCGATTCGTCATGTGCCGCACACGACGCAATGTGAGCGCTGCGGGACGTTCCGGCCCCGCCGAAACGCGGTGTGGCAGCCATCAGGCTGCGCAGCTCCCTGACAGCCGTCTCATCAGACACGCCCGGGGCCGGCTGGGTAACAGCGAAGCGCTCATAACGGTGGAGTTCAAGAGCGCTGCTCAGTGGGAGGCCTGAGTGGGCTTACATTGCTGCGGTTAACCTACCTGCTTAAACCACCCACGACAAATGTAGACACCGAAGTGCTTGGTTAGGTTGCAAGAGCGTGGAAATTGCGCTTCTGCGATTATTGCAAGAGCCTGCAGATAATTGATTGGGCTCTGCATTTCTGAAACGATAGGGTCAGCGACATGTATTAACAACGGCAGTTGGCGAGCAACCCGGCCCCAATTCACTGAACGCCTGGTAGCACCCCGTGGTCACTTGCCCCTGGTGACGTATATGACGACATTCCGCGGTTACTTGCCCTGGTGACATATTTGACGACATTCCCGCGGTCACTCGCCCCTGGCGACATATTTGACGGCATTCCATGGCCACTTGCCTCTGACGACATATCTGCGGGTATGCTGCTGAATGCGGCGTAATTCGCCGCCCGGGGGGCCAGTGCTACCAGATGACCTCTGGTTGACCGTTATGTCGCCGGGTGGCCTCCCTGAGGCGATGATTAAACATCACTGGATGAAAAGCGCCTGTGTGCTGGATATAAAGCGTTTTTGCGGGGGCACTAGGCGTCGACATGACACCCGCGGTCCATGGTTCAGATTAACCGCTTGAACTGTGTCTCACTTCCAGTGCAGGGCGGTCCAGGAAAGCCTCCTGTCTACCGCAGGACAGTTTCCGGCATGCTTCACTAAAGGACAATCAAGAACCGTCTTCCGTCCGCTGCAGGACAGTTCAGGCTACCTCAACACAGGACAATAAGGGCCATCTTCGATCCAACGCAGGACAGTTCAGGCATACCTCACCACGGTATAATCAAGGGCCATCTTCTGTTCACCGGGACAGTTCAAGCATACCTCACCACTGTATGATCAAGGGCCATCTTCTGTTCACCGAGGACAGTTCAGGCATACCTTACCACTGTATGATCAAGGGCCATCTTCTGTTCACCGGGGACAGTTCAAGCATTCCTCACCACGGTTTAATCAAGGGCCATCTTCTGTTCACCGAGGACAGTTCAGGCATACCTCACCACGGTATAATCAAGGGCCATCTTCTGTTCACCGAGGACAGTTCAGCCACACCTCGCCTCAGGACAGGACAATAACGGCCGTCTTCCGTCCACCCAGGACGGTCGGGGCGCTGCGCTCCCGCGTGCAGACGAGCGCGACCACCTGGCTGGAGCTGGAGCGTTAGCCGCCTCGACGGACCTTGCCCCCTGCGGTCGGATGTTGGCGCAGGTCCGCAGGTTTAGGTCCGCTGCTGGACCCTTCCGTTCCGCGGATGCGCCGGCTATCTGTCGCAACTGCGCCGTTTGTGCCCGCTTCCCGTTGGTAGCGGCTGGCCGGGCAGAGGATGTTGCGATAAACTTCCGCTGGCGTGCGGACACGACGGCGGAAGCTGGCCGTGTGCGGTGAGTGTTTCGGACGCGTTGCGCGACCCTACGCGCTGAGGACGTGTAGACGGGGTTTCAAAAGAGGCGTAGCTGTCGGCGAAGTTGCTGTTCCTGTCGCAGCGTTCAGCCCCAGCGAATGGGCGTTGTTCTGAGTTCATGGGATTCGGATCCAGGACCTGGCGATGACTAGCGATATGTGAGGACATGGCTGTCACTGTTTGGTGTCAAGCTCGTCTCACTGTTTGCTGTCGAGCTCGTTTGTGGTTCTCTGATTTATGGTTTGTCATTTTTCCGACCACAGGTTAATGCGGCCCTTCGTGACCCATGTTTCATTTAGTGCAGGATCGGATTTTCGCTTCATTGTTGATTCAGAGCTCCCTGGTGGGCACATTGTAATTCCTGACGTGGTACGAATAACTCTTAATCAACCCGAAATATGGACTGCGCGCGTTGCGGGGGAGGCTTCCTGCCTCCTCCTGATATATTGCCCGCATTCAGGTAGTTATTGGGCCGTTATTTTTCCTCAAGCGAAGCGGGGTTAAGCAGCCGACATAACTTTCGAGCGGACAGCCAGCGCTGAGCGGAGGTGGTTTGCGGGCCTGCCAGGATATTTTATTGTGTATTCGAGTCGCCGGTAGCTAAACAACGCGCCTAGTCCACCGTTTGGTTGTTGCGTGTCGACGGTGTTAGCAGACTTATTTTACGACTCCGTGGCTGCCGGGACTACACTGGTGCTGCATGCATAATGCACGCTACAGCGAACCCGCATTTCGGCGAAGATAAGCCGGGCCTAGTTGGCAGATGGTCGAAGCGGCTCCTTGCGTTAAGCGCCGCCGCGTTTTTGCTCGCAACTTTTGGGCTTTTGGACCTTTGGGCTCTCTCCGCCGCTGGCTGTGACAACTGCGGCCTCGCAGATGAGCTTCAACTCGCTCAATGGTGCGAGCGTGCAGGCTTCCCTGATTTCGGCTCTCGAGTAGCGACCAGACGAGCGTCGGGTGGCGACGAGGCCGCATGTGCACTGGCGTTTGCAGCCGGGGCGACTGTCTCTGAGTCTAGACCTTCCCAGTCGGCCTTCAGCCTTCAGCCACTCTGCCTGGCCGGTCCTGCACCGGCCCAGGAACGGGTCCAGCTGCTCTTCTGGGGGGGGGGGGGGGGGTCCGTCTCAAGTATGAACACTGCTATGCTATTGCACAGTCCAGACCTTTACCCGGTCGTGCCACACGTAAACGTGACTTGGAGGGTATAACAAAAAAGTGCATCGCCCTCCTTCCAACGTGGGAGAACTTCCATTGCCCCTGGTCCGTACAGTCCTGCCCGTCGAGTAATGTCGTCGCGTCTCAACCCGTGGTTGCTGACCGGAACCGTTGCTCGGCTCACCGGCGAGCCTCGCGGTGAGCTCCCACTCCTCTCCAAACGCTCCCACTCCGAACACTCCCACTACGAACACTCCCACTACGAACACTCCCACTCCGAACACTCCCACTCCGAACACTTCCCACTCCGAACACTCCCACTCCGAATACTCCCTTTCCGAACACCCCCACTGCGAACACTCCCACTCTGAACACTCCCCTCTCCGAACACTCCCATTCCGAACTCCCCACTCCGCGGCTGCTATCACGCCGAACTCCGCTCCGCCGCCCGTCCACTCGGCGCCGATCGGACCACAAATCACCGCCCGGTTTCTGCGGCGGCGAAATTGCGTGCCAGTTGCGGCGCACCTGTGACGTTCAGGCGACGCCGCTTGCCCGTGGCTGTAGCCGGCCGTGTGTTTGCGAGGCCAGTTCGCATCGAGCGCTGCGCACCCATTGGCAGCGATTTTTGTCGCTGTTTTCACC